GTCCTGAACAAGGAATTTGTCTATCAAAACCGGAGATACGGGTCCAATGATTTAATAAAGTCAGACTGAGGCACTCCTTTGTGCACCAGTCAATCCTAACATTAAATACAGAGCTAAATCCCAGGTCTAATGTACGAAAAAGGGTCTATGACAGTGGTTCTCTTTAGTGACCGTGATGTTATGTTAAATGTTTGTTTTCCTTATATAGTGTCTTAATATTTGTCCTTTTTTGAGGCTGCAAATGGAGCTGCTGTGATGCAAGTACAATTTCAGATTTGATCTGACAATCCATTATTATCGTATATTGTAGTTCAGCCAAATGCAAAACAGGAAACACATTTAACACATAACTTACCTCAAAGACAAGCCACGAAGTGCAGCCATGTTGTTTATGTAGATTCCCTGCTTCACCTCTGTGTCCCTCAAGCTCTCCTTAAAGAGGATTCCCAGCACCTTGCTGCAGAGTGCTCATTGGGAACAGCTGCTGGCCATCAGGGATGAAGTGTTAAGCATCAACCTGCCACAGAAAGGTCTTCCACATGGGTTGTCTTATGATCATGCAGATCGTTTTTTTGTCCAGGTTTTAATAAAGGAATCTGTCTGGGAGATTTCAGCCTCCACTCCAATAAAATGGTGCTCGTTTTTCTCCCAGCATTGAAACATTCAAAGCAGCATGTCTTTCCTTAAACACTGTCCCTTTATACACCACAAATAATCCTCAGAGCTCACTGTCAGCATTTGGCATAGGGCAGTGACAAATGAACATAATGCATCACTAGAAAGCATCACTGTTGAATTTGATTATTGCTTCCGTACAAAAATCATTACATGTTGTTGGCGTCATTATATATATTGTTTTCAGTTGGTCCCTTGAGGATTTAAATTGAACTTAAAACTAATTATTCTGCTAAATCAAATGTAAACTGTAAAGTGTGTATTATATTCAATGTTTACATTTTGTGAGTTTGAAAGGCTGGACAAGCAGGATGTACACTGCGTTCTATTCTGTATATTGTATATTTATATTGTGTATTCAATATATATACTCTATAGATTTTATTCACTGTTTTGCACATTGTTTTATCTTCTACTGCTCATATGTACATCTTTATTGTTTTTTTGTTTTTATTTTAATTCATGTGCATCATCTTACCTACTGTACAAACTGCTGTGGCAGAAGAATTTGCCACATTTGGATCAATATCTGTCTGTCTGATCTCATCGTACACATTTCTCTGTAAGTAAAACTTTTAACGTTTATTATCTTAAGGGGTTTTGACTTTTTGTGGGTTGCATGCTTAAAATAATATAACAGGAAAAGACTACTCTTGAGGTTGATTTTACGGGAGGAATACAAATGTTTCATATGAAAGAAACACATAAATGTTGGTATGATCCTTTAAGACCCTATGAGTTTAAGAACATAAGAGCAGTGCTAACAGTAGCACTTTGACTTTTTCTGTTACATCATTATCATTGCAGATAAAAAAGCAACTCAGATTTTGGACAGTAATCAGAAGCAGATCGGTGGGATAATGTATTGAGATGTGATGTTTTGGAATATAACCATATCCAGATGTGTAATATCTTTCCACAGTAGCAACGGTTGACTTTTGAGCTCTGGGTACATCCTGCAGGGCCCACTTATAGTTCATATTAGATGTTTTATCCCCTGGGAAAATTATTCTCATTTTGAAACAGGAAATATGGGAGTATGCGGGGATGTAGGGCAGATGACTCCACATGGACACAGTGCTTTGAGACTGCTGATGTATTGTGGTATGGGCGATTGTGATATAACCAGTGCTGTAATATATTAAAGGACAATTACTCAAGTACGATTTTGGTTTACTTGTACTTTACTTACGCAACCTCCGCTCCACAACCAACCATCGGCTTCGCCCCCCCAGGACCAAACTCCGCACAATGGGGGATCGGGCTTTCTGTGCAGCTGCTCCTCACCTGTGGAATTCCCTCCCAGACCACCTGAGGACTCCACAGACCACTTCAAGAAAGGCCTAAAAACCTTTCTTTAAAAAAAAGCCTAATACAAAATATAAATAAACTAAAACATAAACTATGATATAAGTTAAAGATATCCAGCAGCAGTATACAAAGTAATTCAAATGAGCTCAACCTTTACCAGCAGTGATGAACACATTAATGCTTGATTAATTATAATCCAGATAAATAATATATATGATTTGTAAAATTGGACTTAACGCACAATAAGTACTTTTACTTTTGGTACTTTGAGTATATTTTGATGCTAATACTTTTGTACTTTTACTCAAGTAGGATTTTGAATGCAGGACTTTCACTAACAGACTATTTTGACACTGTAGTATTTCTGCTTTTACTTAAGTACAAGATCTGAGTACAGTACATACATACATACAAACATATGCTTTCAATACTTTTTTTGACAACTTGTGTAGTAACTATACTTGTTTTACTATTCTATATTCAATTATGACTAATATTAAACGTGTCTCAGGTCAAAAGTGCACCACTTGGGTTACCAGAAATTCCCTGGAAAGTGAGAAAAGTCCTCCAGATTCTACCTGTTCTCTTGTTCTCCCTTTCTCAAAGTGTACAATTATTTGTGCACGCTATTTTCAGAACATTTTAACAAATGATCCTAATGCAAATTGGCAATTTCCATAGGTGGTGGAGACATGTCCAGACATGAACCATTTATTTATATTGTTGTCATGTCATATTATTTTGGGCACTCAGTGGCAGCGAAAAGATACACAGGGATGGTAAAATGCAGGCATAGTTAGCAGGAAGAGAAGACACATGTAGAGGAAGATGATACAGCTCTCAGCAGACTTTGAGAGCCACAGAACTAAAGTCCTACAGACCCTCGCCTGACCACTCGGCAGTACTGTTATGTTGTTCCCCCTTTCTGTTTTAGCGTTATTAAAATGATGGCGTTTTTCTTCTCAAGTGGAACAGAGATGATTTATCTTAGAGGCCGGCCCAAAACGTTGCATTGCCAGGACTCCCTTGACTCAAAGCAATGGTATTTTTCAGTTTGAGTTCGGAATATGGCAAAAGATAAGATCTTTGTCAAACACATGTTTATAATACTTACATGTTTTAGTAAGCAGGTTATTTCAAATATTAACATTATTTTTATAATAGTTGAAGCCTTCATGCAAATGTCAGAAGTAAAAAGCTAATGTTGGGCTATAAACAAACTACATGATTATCGCATGGCTGCACATCACCACCGCTGTTACTTTCGTAACAGAAAGTAATCAGGTTTGGCTTCTGCACTGCTGTTATACCTCGATTAGGTTACACTCTTTCAAACAGTTACATTTATCGATGATACATTTCTCTAAAAAACGGCCCAACTCTGCATGCAAGACTGTCATTAGGAGTCACTACCGACAAATAAAGCGACAAATAAATGAATGGATCTGCAGACTATTCAGACTTTGGTTAGACTTATGTGAGTCTTATTTGAGCTTCAACATTTTTTGATGGTAGCAGGGCAAGGTGACCATGCCACAAGTCGGACTGCAATGATAAATGCTAGTTTAAATTTAAATATAATGTCCATCTCACCTTTAAAAATAAAAATGTCTATTGAAACGGTTATCCTATCAATAATAACGATGCTTTGCTGTGGGTAATTTGTCTGCACAAACGATGCAAGTGAGGGAATTAAATAGATTTAGTTTGAATTTAATTTCTTCAAACAAACAATCATCCGTAAACATTTCCGTATTTTTTTGCAATCTCTGAATCTGGAAAAATGGCCACCGCTTACTACCAGTCTGCTGACCTGTATGACTGCAGGTCAGTGGGGTTAACTTTATTTATTTCAGCCGCAGTTATTGTTTCTTCGGTTATCCCCTTTTGGTTTCACAAAGATTGTATCCATAGATAATATTTTCTTTATGAGCCTGGAATTTCTTATACGTTTCTCATGTAACTAATGACGCTTCAAATCGTCATCACCTCCATGCGCGATTGAAAATAAATTCTGGCAAATCTCACAAAAACTCTCTGAGAATCGCCCTCCTCCGGCAACACCTAATAAATTCCTTCCTTTGTTGATTGATTGACATCTATCCTTCCTGTCATATCCTACTTTTAAATTGTGTTCAAGTTTACTGTAACTATAAAGTAGCACTAAATGTAAATGCTCAAGTACAGTTAAGCACACAATTGTGCAGTACAGTAAGGTATTTGAGTAAATGTACTAGTTACTTTTGCAACATGTACAGTAAGTCTGCTTTATGCAAAAAACAGAAAACCTGCACCTCATTGCTTTTGTACGAAAGAAACATTACATCTTTTGGCCGTCATTTACACCTATTCTCTGTGAGCACACCCAACATGATTATTATCTTAGAGGGTATAACGACAGCAGGAAACAAACAAAGTCGCTGAGAGGCTGAGGCTGGGCCTGTTTGATATTGTGTGACACGCTACAAAAAAGTACTTGCTAAGATCAAAAACTCTGTTACAAAATAATGTGGTTTAATGAAAACTGGGATAATCAACTTATTCTCCTTGGACATGTACATTGTTATAGTAATCAAAGCAATCATTTCAACTTGCGGTCAACAAAAAGTACAACGACCCTGTGTCACCCTCTCTTCCACACACACCTCACGCAGGTGAACAGGATTATAATGAGTGCCGCCCATATCCATGTGACCCAAGTCAACCAATAAATAGTGCTCAAATAAATATCTTATATTAAAACAAAAACGCAATACTATGGTTTTGACTTTTGTTGGTTGCATGTTTAAAATAATATAACAGGAAAAGACTACTCTTCAGGAGGAATACACATTTTTCATGAAAGAAACAATTAAATATTGGTTTAACAGTCCTCCACAAAGCGGGTAGCCGGTCCCCCCATTAGCGGGCTGGATGCGGCCCTGCAGTAGTGGGCTCCGGGCCGGCCCTTCTGCCGGCTCATCATCAGTAGGCGGAGAGCAGCACTGCTCGTCCTCCTCCCCCCTCCTCCACCATTCATCCATCTCTGCTGACTTTGTTACAACATGTGAAAAACAACCCTGAGAGTTTGGACGAGTTTTTCGCGGTGAAGTCTTCTTGTGGACTTAACGGGAGACCACCGGAAATACATTTCCCGCTACACCGCGGAAAGGATGAGCAGCGCGAGCCTCACTCTGCACGGTAAATCCGTATATTGTAGTCAGAGGTGGTACTTTAGTAAATGTAGAAGTACCAGAGTTAATTTAAACCTTTACCAGCTTTGATAACACTTTAATTATCAATAATTATAAAACTGATATCATATTATTCTGAAATGGACCAATCTGCACAATGACTACTTTTGGTACGTAGTCATTGTGCAGATTGCATCTATTGTGCAGATTGGTATCAAAGCTGGTAAAAGTTCAGCTAGTTTGAAGGACTTTGTATAGCCTACGGCAGGGTAGCTTGTGAATTTACTCCAGGTGGAACTAAAGTCTGATTTAAGACTTGATTATATTTCACATCATTAATCCAAATCTGTAAAGCAACTCAAGCTATTAAATACATGTAGTGGAGTAAAAGTACACGATTTACCTCTGAATTTGAATGAAGTAGAAGTACAAAGTAACATAACAATGGAAGTACTTCAAAATTGTACTTAATTACAGTGAATAAATGTACTTAAAAGGTACTGAACACCAATGATTATCTTGGGGAAACAGTCAGTAAGTTGAACCAGAAATCTTCTAACTTTAGTCTTTGATGTTTTAGGATAAGCAACCATAAGGTGTGAGGACCTCCTGAGAGATGATGTCAGCAGCCTGGACGCTCTGCCCCCTCCTTACGGTGCTGCTGGTGGTCCGGCTCCTCGGGGCCCAGCAGCAGCTTCTGCCCGGCTCCTGCAACTTTGAGCTGGGCACCTGTGGCTATACATCAGACCCGGAGTATGGCACCTGGAGCATGAATGAAGAAGGTACAGCACCATCACAAGTTTTACTTTTTGACATAAACAAACTTCACTGTCTCCGATACTGCCATTTATATACTGCATGGAGAAAATCATCGATTAGTCTGTAGTCAGGAAAAGCTGCCTGTCACTCAGCATATTCCGGCAGCAGCCTATACACCAACACTGAAACACATGAGCACATACTACAGTTTAAAAAAGCAGAATAAAATCTGAGCTGACAGAAAATGCTCCGTTTTAGTTTAACACACACAGTTAAGCTCACACACACTATTCTATGAACATATAGGTTCACCTGCTGAATTAAAAACAGAACTAATGAAGCAAAGAAAGTGAAAACCATAAAGCAGATTCAGGCAGTAGACGTATAGATTCACACTGAAAGTATTATCCTACAGAACAGTACAGCTCTAAGAGAAGAGAGAACATCTGATCCTTTACAACAAACACTACAGTATAAGCTCTTTTTGGGTTTTTAGTGAAATGTTTATCCTGCTAGTGTCCCCCAATTGTTTGTAATGTAACACTGTTCTGACTACACCATTTTATGTTACTTGCTGTTGTCAAATGATAGACATGTAGAAATGAAGGGCCACTGCAAGTCCTTATGTGCTGTGAGGTATTGTTGTTTAATAAAGTCATTGTAATGTTTATATAAGCAATAATGGCAACAAAGGGTGAGAAGTAACCAGAAACCAGAGTTTAAACTAGTCAGTAGTTTGTGACTTCTCTGTGAGGCCTCTGTGCTCAGTATTGTTGTCTGGGAATTTGAGGATTATGGCACTAGCCTCAAAGTTCATCCTTTTATATTGTCATATCTTATTGGTTGTGTGTTCTCTGGCAATGTGCAGTTTGGCTCACAATAGTAGGTGGAGTTTGTTTCAGTATTACAATCGTTTCCCCTAGTGCTGCAAAAATTAGAAACACTTGAACTTGAGATGTTTTGCATTCTCCAAAACACTATTGATTTGTGGCAGATAGCGCCGCATATTACTCAGAAAGTGCTGCCAATGCTGGATGTTTCAGGGACTGTTATAATGCCACTGTTGGGATTGCATAAAAGTCAAACAATTTCATACTCAGGTACTCTATGAATACAGTGTGTTATTTATACTTAGTTTTCATCACATTTGATTTGAAATGTCCCAATATATTGACTTGCTTAAGGTATCACAACATATTGAATGGTATCACCAAGACTAACGTACTTTTTTATTCAAGGACTTTGAGAAACGCTGCGTTAATGTAATCACCACTATTGACAGTAGGCTATAAACAAGCTACATTACGGTTGCATGGCAGTGTGTCCACCGCTAAGCTAAAGTCGGCTAATGTTCGTGATGATGTTTAGTAGTCTCATTTAGTTACTAATTAGCAACCTCTGTGACACATAGAAGCTCCGGGCATTCAATAATGGGGTATTCCCTCACTTATTTTATGTTGTAGAACAAAACTTGAAAATCTCTTAAACTCGTTCTCAAGATTAAGGAACCGGAAGTACATATGCTGACTCATTTCTGGTTTAAGGACTCATTCCTGTGTGTGTGTGTGTGTGTTGTGTGTGTGTGGTGTGGTGTGTGTGTGTGTGTGTGTGTGTGTGTGTGTGTGTGTGTGTGTGTGTGTGTTGTGTGTGTGTGTGTGTGTGTGGTAGTGTGTGTGTGTAGTGTGTGTGGTTGTGTGTGTGTGTGTGTTGTGTGTGTGTTTGTGTGTGTGTGTGTGTGTGTGTGTGTGTGTGTGTGTGGTGTGTGTGTGTGTGTGTGGAGACTCACTGAGATGGCTAATAAAACATGACCAGGGTTTTCCCTGTCATAAAGCCGCTCCTTCAGGATATCCTGTCTGCAGACACAGGGCCGTCACGTGTCGTCTCCCCCCGACTCTCTTTTGTGGTAAAGACTTGATACTGCTGGGTCACCTCAGCCTCTTTCCTCATTTTCATCTTCCTCGACCCCCCCCATGCTCTTCCATCGCTCCCTACAGAAGTAATAATTACCTTACAGTGTCAAATGATGGCTGGAACATTTAATTACGTCATGGCCTAAAGAGGCCATTCAGACATGATGTGGTTTTTTCCACAAAAAACGTCTATTATCCGGTTACAATTCCACGAGGGAAGATGTTTTTGTAATGAAATGCTCCCTCACTAGATCCCACTTGCCAGCATTACATACTGCATCATTTACAAAGAATCTAAAGCACCAATTAAATAGGGTGAGCTGTTACTAACGTCACAGAGGTCCTTGGCCTTGTGTCACTTTGATGCTATTTTTTGGTCAAAAGCGATATTAGTGATATGCATTCCTTGCCTTTAGAATATTGTGTGTTTACGAGGGATTGAGATGCTTTTTTATAAGCCTCTCCCCAGTACATTTTCATTTGAGCAATACTTTTAAATATTTAAAGGCTTTACCGTTATATTCACAATAGCTAAATGTAGTTTTGCTTGTGAGAATCTAAGGTCCCAGGCTGTGCAACATACTGTACATTATACCTAAGACGTAAAAACAAATAGAAATAGTGCAAGAAGTAATACAAATAAAATAGTTAAAGAAGGTGGTGCAAGTGACACAATCTGTAAATAAATGCATAAAGTACACTGAGCCTAACCCTGTCATAAAACTAGAATGTCAAAATACCGTACATGGGAATTAAATACTGCCTATTGTTATAACAAATATGGGCACTGTAAACAGATACATGCGTAACAGTTGCTCAACTATTGATAAAATCAAACTCAATGGATGTTTATTCCAACTTTTCTGGGTTCATTAGAAAGGGAAATGTGCTGTAGATGAGGACATGTGTTTGGAAACTACTTAGAATCTTATTCCATTCCAAAAGTGATGTAATAGAAGTATTATAAATGGGTTAACTTATCTGTGCTCAATATCACATGGGAAACAGACAGCACATCAGAGGAGGTGTGTGTGTGCCACTGTTAGCACAGTGGCGCCAGCAGGGGGGGCCAGGGGGGGCCATGGCCACCCTGATATATTTGTTGGCCCCCCCACCACACACACCACCTCGCCAGTCACGTATGCGTAGTAGTTTATCTGATATTTAACAACAAATACACAGCCAGCGAGTCGCTTGATTTGAGCTTCCAACGCTCATACTGCAGCCCCTCCCTCTCCCTCTGCTACCATGGTAACACTCTGATACTCGGCGCACCACTCTGATACTCGCGCGCACCACTCTGATACTCACGCACATCACTCTGAGATTCGCACAGACAGCAGCAGGTTGCAGCAACATTTCTTTCTACTGACTTGACAAAAATCCACCAGACTTCTAGAAGGTAAGTCATACGTTCGTTGCCTGTTAAGCCCCACAACACTTTAGGCTTTAGTGTGTTAGCTTTAGGTAGCAACAAACGGAGATATGCTTAGCTTTAGCTGATATTCTGATCAAAATGTGTGTTCAATGGCATTAAAACGAGAAAAACGCTGGAAGACCTGGAAAACAGGCTCGGTGCTCAGTGTCTGTAAACACACTTTGGCGGCTATCCTAGTTAGCGTTAGTTTAGCTTGCTAAGCTAACGTTAGCTGATGTCGGTATGCTGGGCTGGTGTAATGCGTAGGCTACTATTAATCACTGCTGTGTGTAATGTCAATTTGCAGAAAATGAAGAAAGTCAACAGACATCTCTTCTTATTTTAAGAAGAAGAAGAAGAAGAAGAGTAAAGGAGAGACAGAGCTGGCAGGGGAGCAGCAGCATAGGGCTAGTGAGGAGATGGCCATACATGCTAGAAAGTACATGTGGAACTCTGTTTTGTAAAAGTGAAACTAAAACCTAAGTACAGTTTTATTAATGTGATTGTGACCTTTGTAATCATTTAAGTCTTCTACACACTTTAGGTCTGCAGCTCCTTCAAAATGAAACGAGAATCTATGCAGTTTTTCCTCTTCTGTGTTCTGAGGTTATGAGCCGACCATTAGTCAAGTTTGTTTTCATAATGTTCTGTATGCTAATTTAAAAAAGGGGTAACCAGTTTGTTTATAAAGTATAAATATACATTTTCAAAACAAATGGAATACAAGCTATATGTATTACTCTCACCACAGTGGCCTCATCTAAAAAAAATAGAATGTCTCGTCACCTATTTTCTGTCTAATACTAAAGGTGGTGTTTTGTATAATTTATATTGTTTTGAATTTGCTATAAAGGTCAATAATAGATGGTGTTTTTGTGTTCAATCACAGTATGTTACCATTTTATACCCCTTGTGTTTTTGGGTCCTGTTGAAATAAAATAGTCATGTTTTAAAACTTGATTTAATAAAGTCATGTCAATCATCTTTGATCCCAGTGTGACACAAACAGCTTTGTTCAGTCTAAAACAAGTTATAACCTAGAGACATAATATAACTGAAGAACATGTTGTGTTGCTGTTGTGTATTGTATGTGTTGAGAATGCTGAACATGTTGTGCCTTACAATAAAGGAACTTATTTAAATTAAGCTGCATTTGTCTTTTTAAAAGGAAAGAACAACTAGCATATATAAAAAACAAAACAATAAATCACCAACACATGTATACATAACACAAAACAAGTTTCTTTTAAATGTTGTTTGAAGTAAAATGTTAACTCTCCGTATTATATTCACTTCAGATGAATAGTATCCGAAAATGTAAAATAAGAAACCAAAGTATATCAGTAGGTGATTCTCTTTGCCATTGTTTTCATCTAGTCTATACTTTTACAACAATTACATTCTTGGTTTTGGTGGGCCACCCCAAGATTTTCAGTGGCCCCATTTGGCCACCCCTATGAAACATGTCTGGAGGCGCCACTGTGTTAGCAGCTACAGTCAAACAAAGATCAGTTCTGAATCATTATCATGGGATCTGTGTGGGGGAGGGTCAGCTCACTGTATCTTTATAATGAACAACATGAAACCAAGTGTACACTCGTTTTTGATGTTACAGGTAAAACTCCCTTTTACAGTTTCTCGGTATTTAAAAGGAGACGCCAGGCAATACAAGTTGACCTGACTTAAAAGTAATATA